TAATTTGTGCCAGGGCCAAGCCCCAGCACCTCTAGGCTTGGCACTTCGTAGCCCCAACACCTCTGGGCTTGTCACATCAGTTATGAAAATAAAAAAATTGCTTGAGCCTCGGAACCCAATTGCTTGAGCCCTGGCACCTCTTTCATTAAAAATTTAGCACTGCACATAAGTACCACAGGTAGAGTGGGAATTTCTCTATACCACTGCTAGCCCTTCCCTTATTTTCACCTATGCCCCTCACATCTCCCTCTTTTCTGAATGGAACCTTGGCTGAGTCCCCTGCCCCTCTCTTCAACACTCTTCCTTCCCCACCCCCCCGACAGGGGGATTCCTCATTTCCAGATCCTTAATTTAATTACCAACCCTTTCTTATCTTAATCACCCTACCTCTGTTTATACTGACTTCCGGCCCCAGGGACACAAAGCTGGGAGCAGCACCTCTCCTCTGCAGAACTCACATTCCACACTCAGGCTGTGCTGCGGATAAGATTCCCTTGGGGCTAGGGCATGAAAACACACTGAATGGCCATGGAGACAGAGCTACCTTTTCTCCTCTACTGGTGGTTCCTGAACCTGTATCTGATCTGTAGACAGAGTGGAATGATCTGGGTCAGATCCTTACTGCACGAACGCCTCTTTATACTCCCCACCCCCACATCTCTGTAACTCAGGGTCAGTCTAACTAAGGCTGTGTCTACACCGCCACTTTCAGCGCTAAAACTTTTGTCATTCAAGGGTGTGAAAAAACACACCCCTGAGCGACAAAAGTTTTAGCGCTGAAAAGTGCCAGTATAGACAGCGGCTCCCAGCGATAAAGCTACCACCGCTCTTTCGGGGTGGTTATTTTTTATCGCCCGGAGAGCTCTCCCCAGGAGATAAAGTGTGACTACACTGCTCACATCACAGTGCTGCCGCGGCCGTGCTGTAACGTGGGCAGCGTAGACATACCCTCAGAATCTAGCCCTTTGGTCTCTGGGCTTTTCAAGTCAGGATCTCCCACAAGCAACAAATTCCATTTGAAAAACATGTGTGTTTATTTTGTGTATGTAACGTTCACCAAAAGCCTGATCCAAAGATGATTGATATCAATGGGAATCTTCCCATTGACTTCAATGGGCTTTAGGTCAGGTCCCAAGTCCATCATCCACAGGGACGGACTTGTATGTGATGCCTCTGATAATGCTTCCACTCATTGGGTCTGAGCAAGACCAAAGCATAATAAATATCCTGGGAAGTTTTGCTTGAGTAAAGAGTTCTGATTGAATAGTGGCAGTTTTGTGCATGTTTCTTGCCACACCAACATTTGCTGCAGGCATCTCTCTGGTGACTGGATGATACAATACATGTGAAACTACACAGCTCAATTTTGTTGGCTTCCTTTCATCGGTTCCGGGAACCTTCACAGTAAATATCAGCGAGTGCTGATGAGAGGATAGAGGGTTTGAGAGAAGTGAAGGAAGGTATACATAATATATCAAAATATTCTGAGTATTTGGTGAGCAAGTTATTTCTAACTATGTGCATATATGATTTATAGGCTATTAAAGCCTATAATATTCATTATATTTGCTTGAATATAGACTAGCTTTTCTCACTTTCTCAATGTCTGTCTAAGATTACCAGTCTTTTTACTGGTAAATTCTTTCTCTCAATTTCACGCATATAGATTGTTGTCACATTGTATGTCCAAGGTGTTTACTCAAGATTAATTAGTGGTCCTGGGGAAGACAGAGGATAGAGAAGTGAACATGAAGAGAGATGTCTGCCTAGAAAATGCAGCAAGAAAAGCATCCTGTGCATCGAAAGTGACAAACCCCGTAGCTTATCATTTGAGGACGTCAGCAATGACTTTGCTCTCCAAAAATCACAAACGAAAATGTTTTAAATGTCAGTGTTAAAATTAATGTGATGTGCAAACAGATATACTGCAGATTGTACTGCTTCCATTAAGTAAGCTGGTCTGTGTAACTAACTGCGTTTGTGTTGCTGTAGATATAAAGTTTTCATATCTACTAATTAAGAGATCATAGATGAAAATGTGTTAATTTGAAATTATTTTATAATGCAAACAGGCATACTTCCAGATGTGTTTTAGTTAGATTATTATTCTATTTTTACAACTTCACCTTAGAATCATAGAATCATAAAATATCAGGGTTGGAAGGGACCTCACAAGGTCATCTAGTCCAACCCCCTGCTCAAAGC